GCGCTTCTGCCAGGGGAGTGATAAGGAGAGAGATACTAGATGGCAAGAGGGACCAGGATCTGGGGCCCACCCGATTCACAGTTCAGGACACCCCTGCAGGCCGAGCTGACGGAGCTCGGGCCCTCGTGAGTGGGGTTGAACGGCCACACATCTCAGGGCCCAGTGTGGGGGCTGGAGGCCTGGAAGATGGAGTCAGGGAGGCCGAGGGTGACAGCAGGTGTCAAGCACCCTTGCTGTTCTCTCAGGCCCACACAGGGGCCGGCGGGCCTTCTGCACAAAGTGTGCAGGCAGCTCGCATGGGGCTGGGGGCACGATTAATAGCCGTGCGGCGCTGAGTGCCCTGCCTAAGACACCCATGTGCTCATTTGAAATGAAAACTGCTCAAATGAACTGGAAAATGTTTGACTTGTATTTTCTCATATTCCCGAACCTTTCTTTCCACGGTTCAAAAGTTTGCATTGTCTAATTGCTGATTTCCATTTGTGAATGAATCAGCGTAAAATAAAATTAAGTGCCAAATTAATCTCCCCCATCTAGTTTTAGGCATTAATTATCCTCTGAGCCTTTTTCTCCTGCTTTTGCAGCGTGTCAAGACAAGCCCAGATACAGTGAAGCAGAATCCAGGTTTTGACGGAGGAATTTAAGCCCTAGAAGTAAAAGATGTTCTTGCTAAGATCCACAGTTTACTGTGCAAAAGGGCCCGATTCCAAGCAAAGAGAACACATTTCTCACCTTTTAAGGGTACACAACACTGTCAGACTAAGTAAGTTCCTGGAGCAGACATTTGCTGCATAGTTTTGTGACATGTTTCCCCGGTTGACAAATGAATAAGGATACATCTCCTGTATGTTTAGCAGGGTCACCCTTGTGTGGAAAATGTAGGGTTGGTTAGAGAAGAATTTTAGAAACTGCAGGTGCAACTTTGGAGGTGCTCCTAGCTCTGCTGAAATTCTCCCAGGCTACCAGAACACACTTACAGGATCCTCGGTCTCTGGAGAAAGGGAGAACTGTATACGTGGTGATCTGCTCAGAGCCCCTGCACTTGGAAGACTGTACACCTGGGCACCAGGAGGATACATCAGACCTCCAGTAGGGCCAAGAAAGCCTTGGGGACAGAGGACACGGAGCCCTCATTTCCTGAGTTCTGCATTATGAGAACCTTTCTAAAAGGACTGAGACGGCCTTGCATCAGCACTGTTGACCAGTAAGAATGCCCCTGTCACTTCCACCCACCCAAGACACACAGCAAGGAAAAACAGAGCTGAGACTGGTGGTGTGCAAAGGAGGAGACTCGGCCCTGGCTGGAACCCCTCAGGACCCAGCTTTGGAAAGCAACGGCTGCATGCATGGGTATGAACGAAGAGCTATTCATCTGCAGCCCGAGGGTCATCCCTGCTCATGTGCAGAGCAGCCAAGGCCATGGGCATCAAAACCACCAAGCATGCAAAGCGCTGTTCACAACAGCAACACCACGTGGCAACGGCTAAAGCCACAGGCAGGAGAGCTGCTAGGGGGCCTCAGGCCACATGGCCTTGGAAGCAGAATGGATCCTGGAATCCACTTCTGCGGTTCTTCGATGAGAACGGGGGCCTTGCAGGGGGAGCATGGCAGGCTGTAAGAGGAAGAAGCCAGACCTCCTGTAATTCCGAGGCACTTAAGTATTGATGAGAATTCATTAGAAGGACAACGGTGTTTTGAAGAGCATATTTGTGGCAGCCTAAGTCAGTGCTCAGGGCAGAGCTTATTATGGAAGGCAGTTTGGGAGCAAGGAGGTAAGGGAAGTTCAAACAACGGAGGTGGATCTGACTGTTTGCACTAGGGATAAAGGTGAGCTTCCGTTCCACCCGAACCAGACCTGACATCTCTCCAGGCACCTGGGAAAGCACCAGAGAGACGGGGCCAGGGGCCGCTGCGCTACCAGGGGCGGAACATGACGCTCTTCAGCTTCCCCTCTCCTTTCCAACAACAGCTCCTGACTGCTCTGCTGCAGACCTGCTCGGAGGCCCAGCCAAGCGCTCGCCTCTCCCCAAACACCCCACGAGGAAAGGAACTGTCAGCTTCCCTAAAAGGGAAAAGAAAAGAAAAACAAAGTCAAAGGAGCTGCTTCTCGTCTGTTTGAAGGCGCGAGGCAGAGGCGAGGCAGGTTCTGTGTAGCACACCGTGGGACCCTGGGGAAGAAGAGCTCAAGGCCACGAGTTGGAGGATATTAAGTTCAGGGAAGTCTTAATGAGCTTGAGCAGCTCTTTGATAGTGGCTGATGCGAAGATGGAAATGCGGCATTTGCAAGTGTGAGCCTTCGAGCTGGTTCTTAGGAAGCAGTTTCCCCCCCTTGCCATCCCTTCCCTTCAGGGATATTCAGACAGGCCTGAAGCCATCGCACCAGGGCTGGGTAAAGGTTGGAGCGGGGCCCCGGCTCCAGCCAATCGCAGAGGCTGCTCGCAGCAGGAAGAGGTGCAAAGGCGTCCTGGAGATGGATGGAGAGGGCATGGAGTAAAAGACGAGATTAATAAAATCTGATGAAAGAAAACACCACCGGCCAACCCAGCAGCTCAAATTACATTTACTGCACTGGCCGGGAAGGGGGGTCATCATGAGGAGCAAGTCCAGGCTCTGGAAGAAATTCCCGGCTAAATAACCTAACAATGAGTAACACCGCGGGAAGGCACCGATTCGCCTTCCCAGGGAAAACTCAAGGCAGGGCAGAGAACACATCACTCACAGGAGACACATTTCACTGGGCAGCGCCCCTGGGCAGCAGGGATCCGGATCCAGGCAGCTGCTGCTTCCTACCCAGAGCCACAAACAAGACCACAGCGCCGGTGCCGCCTGGTCCCGGGGAGCTCTGCCCCAGGACATGGAGGTGTTATGCAGCCCATCGTGGCCTTGGTGGGATTGGGCACGAGCAGTCACCAGGCATGGCCGTGCTGCCTCCAGTTGTACATTTCTGTCTCATCAGCTGAGTCCATTCCCTGCGGCTGAGGGTGTCGCAGTTCCTGGAATCTGTCCTTCTCCAAGGCACCCCAACCATCCAGTGTCCTGCCACTACCCACCCCCACCCCACCCCCAGCTCCCCCGCCTGCCAAGCCAGTCTCTCTGCAGCTCAGCAGGAAAGCAAGTTGACTTACTGGACTCACACCAACCCTCTATGGATTCTCTCTTTAGAAGAACATGCAAGCGCTCAAGGTGACTTCCGGCCTGGGAGGAAGGTCACCGCCCTGCTCTGGCCCTCGGGTGAGAAGAGGCTCCACCCCTGCTCTCTCCCAGCCTCTGCTCAGTGAACAGAGCAACTTAGCATCTTCCACTGCTCCCATCTCCGGGCAGGATGAAAAGCCCAGCCACTCTCTGGACCCCTCAGTGCACAGGATAACATCCTACCATGGAGTCAGGAAGAGCTGTTGGTATTTAGCTGAGGAAGATTCTAGAAACCCAGCCCTGCTCCCATGAGGAGGATTCCCTGCTGCTCAACAGCTAAAGGGGCCCAGCGGCTGGAGTTCAGATCCAGGGGGTGCAAAGGAGGGGTTTTCAGAATCTACTCCCTCCCACCGCCCTGCTCCTCTGCCATGTTCATCCTCTGCAAGGGGGTAGTGGACCCCCTGGCTGATCAGCCTCCCTGGGATCCTGGCTTGGGAACCTTCTGGGACACTCAGCCCTGTTCCTAGTGCACAGCCAAGAGGGGACTTGATGGACAAGGGGCTGGGAAGTGAGAGAGCCTTCGCGGTCATGCGTCCGTAATGCCTGACTCCTCCCTAGATGTTCTAGGATGTTCGGTCATCCACATCCTTGCTCGGTTCACCTGCTTCCAACTTTCTCAGAGCAAAGTGGAGGAGCATTACTGCCAGAAAATCTTCAGCACAAGAGAGTTTTCACCTGAGGACATTCACTGTCCTTTGGTTCCTATCAGAGTTGGTTTAAGGAAAGAAGAGGACCCCATTCTACAGGAGCCAGACCTAAAGTGACCAGAAATCGGCTAACCAGATTCCTCCACAAATCAGACTCTTTCCTGCTCTCTGCTCTTGAGAAAGGCAAACTCAAACAGGGAACAAGCAAACAGCCACACTCTTCCCAACTTGTACACCTGCCTAAGACTTATTGCGTAATGTGATCTTATCAGAGCTGGCATTGAGGGCTCTTGGCTTGAGACTGGGCACAAATACTGGGTCCAGCACAATGTCCTGTCTGGGATTCCACCTGCTCTTGTGGTCGAGGTGCAGCACAGCCTCCGTCTACAGAGACTCAGACTCTGCTTATCAGACTCTCCTTGGTGCATCAGCAACTAAATGCAGCCCCAGGTTCTAGAAGTACACACGTGAATCGGCAGAGGTGGCCCGGGGTTGGGACAGGAACCAGTGGAGCAGAGTGGACGGCCACCTGCTCTTTCCACTCCACCTAATTCCACGTTGTCTTTTCTTCTGCAGAGAATGTGTCCTTGGACTCCATCAAACATTAAAATCAAGCAACAGGTGGCCAGAAAGACGACGGGAGAGGATGTCTCCCACGTGGTCCAGGCTTGGCAGCGTTTCCAAGGGAGGCTAGGAGTGGGAAGGCAAGCTGAGCTGGGGAAGCCCATTCTCTGCAGCCACAGAAGGGCCCAGAGCTCTCCAAGCTCCACTCCCTGTGGCTGGACACGGGGTCGTCCTTTGGGGGCAGCTTTCCCCCCGGAAGGTTGAGAGCCGTCTCTGCATCTCCAGCCAATGCCTTTCCTGACTTACTGAGCCCCCGGCAACCACTGGCATCCCCCACGACTCAAGAGGTGGGCACATGCATTTGCAGGTGCCCCTCACCTGAGAGGCGCTCAGGAATTACAGGTGTTTTCCTGACTCCAGCTCCCTCAACTTTCCCTAGTTAAAGCAGGAAGCCTCTCGGCTGCTCTAGAGGTCAGGACTTGGCCAATTCAGTAAGTGTGCCAGCCTGCCATCCCGCTCTGCCCAGCTAGGGGCACAGGGAACAGGAGCGCTCCCAGCCATGGCATCGCCCTGCCACCACCACTGCCAGCACCCTACCTGCAGATGTAATTCGTCTTGCAGGAATCCTGCAGATCCAAGCAGTTGGGCTTCTCCCTCTCCTCATAGGAGCACACGGGCACGATGGTCTGCCGCCTCCGCTCGGTGCAGGCGATGTCGCGGCAGGAGCAGAAGAGCATCCCGTAGCTGTGCTTGGCGGGGACCTTGTCGAAGAACTGACGCAGGGCCTTGTGGCACTTGCGGCGGTTGCACACTTCGTTGGACATGCTGGTGGTACACGGGGTGATGTACGCCGACCTGTACTTCTTGCAGGTGTCATCAAGGTTGCAGGCCTTGGCTGCATCCAGGCAGTTGTTTCCTTTGGGCACATGTTCCACTGCGAAACAGAGAACAGAGAGGTGTGAGCAGAGCGCGGCCCAGGGCTGCCCACACCCGCTCTGTCTGCACTGAGCTCCTGCCATTCTGCTGGCCACACCGGCCGGGCAAGAACTCAATGAGCTTTGAAGCTAATGACTTCATGACTTCGTGACACTGGGAACCCAGGACACTGCACAAGCCCCGAGTAATTCCTTTAGTGTACAGGGAGGAGCCAAGAGCTCAAGAGAGCGAAGTCAATGGAACTCAGGCCCCTGCCCGACTATGTGCAAACGATTCGACAGGAGGATAAATTTCCAGAGCCTGGTCAGTAAACTGAAATTAGGATCAAAGATAAAAGCAACAAATTATGTACTTGCTCATGATACAGTATGTAAAATGATATGCTAAATGCAAGTCTAATTGCCATGCAATCCTCCAGGAATATAATTATGTAATAAATGCATATAGTACATGCTAATTACTATATGATTATAGAGTAATTACATGCTTATTTGAGCCCAGAAGACAAAATACTATGCCAGGCTCGCTAAACAGAAAGAAGCAACTATAATGTAGTTAAGTTTCAACTCTCAGGCTATTGGAAGAAAACCAGAATAAATCACATAAAAATTTGCAAACCTCAATTGCCACTTAACCCACCACATATAATAATGTGGGCTCTGTGAGCATCGAAGTCACAGATTAGGAAAAGCCAGCTAGCATTTTGGACAGACTTCCAGTGGATTTATAAACCACGGGCGTTGGGAATCACAAGAAACATATGCTGCCTGCTGTGGGCGCTGCCAGAGAAAGCAGCACTCTCCCTGCCGGGCGGTCCCTCTGCTGGCCCTCTGCTGTCCCCCTGCTGTCCCCAGCAGCAGAGCTGGGGTTCTCTGGGCTCGTGGTGGGGCGGGGGTTGAAGGCGCTGGTCAGGGCCAAGCCCAACAGGCAAAGTTACAAGATGAGCAGATGGGGGGAACCAAACTTAGTCCATGCTAAAGAGCTGTTTCTATAGGCAGAGGGAAGTGACGGAAAACCTCCCGTAGACAACTGATAAGGTGGTCCCTGGAGGACTGATAATCCGCTGGCCGGGGACCCTCCAGACAGGGCAGGGAGGCAGCTGGGTAGAAGCAGAGAATTACAGCACTGGGCACCCCAGGGAGCTCCTGCCCAGGTCTCAGTCCCTGTATTTCCTGTATGTTGGTGGCCACATGGAATATTACTCAGTCTTCAAAAGGACACCCTATAATGTGCGCCACGGCTAAAACCTGAGGAAGTTGTGCTCAGTGACATGAGCTGATCACAGCCAGACAGACACGGCATGACCACTCCACACCAGGAATCTGAAATAGCCAATTGCACAGAGGCAGAGCATGGAAGGCTGACTGCCAGCAGTGGGGGCAGGGTTCACTGGGAATTAAGTTACACGGCTGTGCAAGGTGAGCGAGTTATAAAGCTGAAGTGCAACATCTCTCCTACACCACCCAGAGGACAGAGAGCCCACTAACTGTTCTTAGCATGTACAGAGTATTTTAAACATAAATTAAAAAGGGCATGCAAAGCCAGTCCTACATTTCAGAGCAAGGAACATGCAGCTGGCTCAAGGAAAATCCAGTATCCAAAAATCTGAAATCACAGCCTCACACCCTGGCACGGCAAGCTGTGTTCTCTGTGCTCCGGGTTCGTATTTCTGCCAATGGCATCTGAGCCCCACAAGTTTAATGTGGGAGACAATAAACAAGGTATTCAAGCTTTCTTGGGTGAGCAGTGCAGGAAGCCAGCAGCTGCACACCCAGGCCTGCTGTTCAGCAAACACTCCTGGAGCCTTCTCTCCGTCATGCCCCGCCCCAGCCTGTTTGCATTTCCATTCTTGGGCTTCTCAGGACATGAGTGACAGTCGCCAAGTGCCCTGATGTGGTTACCAGGGCCTCCGGGCCTTGGTGACACGTCCAGCCTTCTCCTCTATGGAGACTTGTAATGTCCTGTTGTTGGGCCCTAGGCAGTGATTTATATTCTTGAAGGTCTCCAGTTGCCTAGATTGCTAATTTATGCATTTTTGATGATCATCTAAAATAACTTAATATGACCGTATCCTGCATCAACTGGATCAGACCCCGACAGCCGGATATGGGTATGGACACGGTTTTACTACCTGCATTTACAGAGGCACTGGTGTCAGATGGCGCTTTACAATCTCCAGCTAAAAGGAAAAGACCAGACACCCAGAGGTAGATCAGCACTCAAATGATGCAGCCAGTGATAAACGGACAGACAGTTCATGTTATTTCAAATGAGAAAAATGGCAGAAGAATGATGTCATCACCTGGCACCCAGTAACACAGGCCTGACACCCTCAAAAGAATGCCAGCTGTAACACACCACTACATTCAGACTGTAAACACCCATCCAGTTTCAGCAAAATAATGCCATTTTTCCATTAATGTCATTAGCTTGCACTTCATTGTTCTCAAAGAGTTTTGTACATGCTTAATGTGTGTGTGCTGCTTTTACAGTTGTGCGAAAGCAGAGAATGAGCGCTTTCTAATGTTTCTAAGTTTCCAATAACATTTTTTTTTTTTTGACAGGCAGAGTGGACAGTGAGAGAGAGACAGAGAGAAAGGTCTTCCTTTGCTGTTGGTTCACCCCCCAATGGCTGCCGCGGCCGGCGCACCGCGCTGATCCAAAGGCAGGAGCCAGGTGCTTATCCTGGTCTCCCACGGGGTGCAGGGTCTAAGCACTTGGGCCATCCTCCACCGCACTCCTGGGCCACAGCAGAGAGCTGGCCTGGAAGAGGGGCAACCGGGACAGAATCTGGCGCCCCAACCAGGACTAGAACCTGGTGTGCCGGAGCCACAAGGTGGAGGATTAGCCTAGTGAGCCACAGCGCCGGCCCCAATAACATTCTAAGAAATAAAGTCAACCCAAGATATCTAGAGAATTTTCTTTTTCTCTGCAAGTAGCCCACATAATAATACACGGACTTGCAAAAATTCGCCAGTGTACACTTTGTTATAATATGAGCTGCCTTTTTAACTGTTCCTTATTTATTTTTATTTATCTGAAAGGCAGAGAGAGGGGAGGGGGGAGGGAGAAGGAGAGAGAGAGAGAAACGAACTTCCATCTGCTAGTTTACTTCCCAATTGCCATCAATAGGTGGGACAGGGTCAGGCTGAAGCCAGGAGCTGAGAACTCAAGCAGGTGTCCCAGCTGGGTGGCAGGGCCCCAGCTACTTCAGCAGCTCCTGCTGCCTCCGAGTGCAGTTAGCAGGAAACTGGAAGCAGCAGCAGAGTGGCCAGACTTGCATCAGGGACTCCGATACGGGATGCAGGGATCCCCAGCAAGGGCTTAATTCATGGTGCCAACCATCCACCCCCATTAGTTGCTTTAAGTTAAAACTATATAAGAGATTAATTAAGTTTATCTTTTAATATTACAAAAAAGCAATACTTTAAAGGAAGAGCTTTGTAGAAAGTGGAAATAGGCTGAACCATTTTTTGTCTAAATCAATTGATCAAAGTTAACTTCAGTGGGTGTGACAGCCTCACTCTATTTGCATCAATACAGAACCCTTGCCAGAGCTCCAACTCCTTATCATGATTTTAGACCCTGTGACAAATTCCACAGTACATCACCTGGCACATTTACAGAGGCAGAAACTTAATTCATTAACTCACAGCTCAATGTGACTTCTTGTTTCTTTCATCACACAAAATAAATTCATAACACTTCCCAACTTGATAGATGAGGTTAGCATTATCCAAATGCTAGAAACCAGCAAAGACAAAAGAAGAAAATAATAGGCTAATGTTCCCTATGAATAAAGATGGAAAAATATTTCCAAAATTTTAGAGACTTGTGTTTAGCAATATGTTAAAATAATGCATCATGATTGATGAGGGGTTATCCAAAGAATGCAATGTTGGTTAGTAAACATTCACATTAATGGAATACAGGCGGAAAACCATGATTATTTTAATAAACAAAGAAAGATCAAGTAGTACATTTCAGTATTTTTTCAAGAATTGTTTAAAATGTCCAGCAGATTAAGAATAGAAAAAAAAAAAAGATCTTGGGTGGGTGTTTTACCTAGTGGTTACAAACACCATGAGGATGTCCACATCTCATATCAGAGTGCTAAGGTTCAAGATCCACCTCTGGTTCCTGTCTCCAACTTCCTGCTATTGCAGACCCTGGGAGGCAGTGCAGATGGCTCAAGTAATTGGATCCTTGTCACTCACGTGGGAGACCTGGATTGAGTTCCAGGCCTGTGGCTTCAGGTCCTTGAGGTCATCTGGGGCGTGAACCAGCAGATGGGAGTGCTGTCTGTCTGTCTCTCTCTTCTTTCTCAAATATTTCAAATTTTAATTAAAAATAATTTTCTCTATTTGAGGAGCTATGAAAAAATAACATTAACAGCATGAAAAACATGCAGCTAAATCATGTTTCATGATAAAATGTGGACAGCTTTTCTCTAAGACTTGAATAAAGGATACCCTTCTTATCATTAGAATCAGCAGCATGCAGGAGATCCCAGCCATCACAATAAAGCAATGGAAAGAAACAAAAGGTATAGAGATTGGGAAGGGAGACATTTCTATTCAAAGATGACTTAGAAAAGCCTAAAAAATCTGTAAAGCAACTACTAGAATGAATAAGTCAAAGAATATAAAGTGAATGTTAAAATTAACTATAAATTATTTTGAGTTTGTAGGTTTATAATATTTTATATTGACAAATAAGAATTGTATATATTCATGAGGTACAGTGTGATGCCTTGATATAGATTTGACATGTGGGATGATTAAGCCAAGTTCTTTAATGGATCACTTTAATAAGTTATTTACAAAAACAGAGAAATCTTTTCTTGAGAGATAGGGGCAGGGGGTGTGGTTCCATCCTCTGGTTCATTTTAGAACTAGAACTCTGTCCAGGTCTCCTATATGGGTGGCAGGAGCCCAACTATTTGAGTCACCACTAGTGCCTTGCAGGTTCAATATGAGCAGGAAGTTGGAGTAAGGA